CATCAAAGGACCATCGAAGAGAAAGTCCACTAAAATTATTCATAGTGCTGAACTTACAAGTACATAGTTTATCTATGTACTCCATGGCTGTTAGAAGGGTATGAGGAGGGATGGCGTCTGATATAGAATACAACAAGAACAGCCAGGAAGGCATACAATTACAACCAGTAACAGTATTGTTAACGAGTAATTAATCCAGGCTCTACACCTATATCCTTCCCCCCAGCTAAACCTAACCACCTCTCAATACCGATCTTCTATTCCACCCATTCCTTTTCAAACACTCCTTTATAACTATCCTTTCTCTACCTCATTAATTCCGGTTTCATAGTACATACCCATAGCCTACTCCCACACAACATGTTCCCCTTCCTTCCTTTTACCAATTAACCTAATAACCACCAATTACCTAACTGCTCTCCTCTCCCCTTTTCATACCAACTACACCTGAATCAACCCAGTATCCCACCAAAGGCTGGGAGCTGCTCATGTAGAGAACAATCAATGAAGAGCCAAAAAATCTAGTACCCTAATGCTGATGGAATGCCAAACAACACGGAAGAACTGAAAGAAAAGGACTGACGAAACAAACCCCAATGAAACAACAATGGTAGAAACTAAACTAATCGAACTCACTAAGTCAGTATTCCACAAACAATACCAGATAGCATGAAGAAAGAAAAAACAGAATAGAGGAGGCTCTGCGATATTGTTGGTCAAAAACAGACGGCAAGTTAGAAGAGAATGGAGGATACTAAAAATGCGAACTATCTCATAGGACTCATTTCAGTGGAAGGAAAATTAAAGAGTGGTTGTGGCTGTTAGAAGTCGCAAAAATAATCTTGCTAGCCTATGTTAAAAATGAAAGAATGAAAGAAGTCTTCACACAGAGCGAAACGGATATTGAGAACAAGGATCATGAAATGCCAATAGGAGCGAGCGACCATTGTGTATTAGTTTTTGATTGTGTAGCTATAATGAAGGCTGTGTTAAGAGGAAGAGAAGAAGGGAGTGAAGGACTAGCTTTCCATAGAGGCAAGTACCAGGTCATAATTTTTAAGAAAGGAAATAGAAAACAAGGCATGAAGGACTTCATAACTAGCCAATGCAAAGAATCTGAAAGATGATTTACAGGTATATCTAAGGGATAACGGAGCCAAGAGAAATGCTCAGGGTTAACAGACAATGCTTACAGGCAAAAAGGAGAAGTAAAAGAGCTTGGAAATGTACAGAAGAGAAACACATAATATATACAGAGGAGAAGAACGAATACACAGGAATTGTGGGAGTACAACTGCGCTCTGTATGATATGGCAACTTATCTTATTACCATGGATAAATTACCTGAATTCCTTGCACTGTATCCATATTTCGCTTCCAGTACATAAACGACATATGAGATTAAAAAACAAGTTGTGTATTGTGAACACTAATAATAAACAGAAGCTCCCCTATGAATCTGTAATATCTCCATTGGTCAAACTATTATGTATTAGCGATAAGACCTACCATTAATGTATAATGACATACTGTAAATATATAGCTCTTGAAATAGCACTTTCTCTGTAACTAGCTGACATTGTAACTATAAGGTGTGAAGAATAGATGAAATTGTTTATGTAATAATCAAAGATGAGGTCTGATAAAGACCTTTTGTGCCCTCTGTAATCCTTTTTTTGCGCTACAGCTCACAGGATGGGTATGGGGTGCACAATAAACTAGCCGCTTCTGGCGGCAACAATCAAACAATCAACTAGGCGAGGCTCGCCCCGTAGCGTAGCAACCCCGGTCAGCAAGACATCACCTCGAATTTGTGGTGATGCTGTTTTTATTATTGTTAATTTCAACCTTGACATTTAGTTAAACAACTTTGCTTGTGTGCGTGTCTGCGAGTGTGTGTGTGTGTGTGTACTCGCCTATTTGTACATACCTATTTGTGCCTGCAGGATCGAGCATTGACTCTTGGATCCCGCCTTTCTAGCCATTGGTTGTTCATGGCAATAACTCCTGTACTATCATATCATATCTAGTTTTAAAATTATGAATGGAGTTTGCTTCCAGAACCTTGCACTTCCAAGTGCATTCCATTTCTCCACTACTCTCACGCTAAAAGAAAGCTTCCTAATATCCCTGTGACTCATCTGAGTCTCCAGTTTCCATCCATGTTTCCTTGTTCTGTTAGTATTCAGTGTGAACATTTCGTCTATTTCCACTCTGTCAATCCCCTTGAGTATTTTATATGTTTCTATCATATCCCCTCTCCTTTCTTTTTTATAAAGTCGTCAGGTTCAGTTCCTTCAGGCGATCTTCATACCCCATCCCTCGTAACTCTGGGACAAGCCTCGTCGAAAACTTCTGAACCTTTTCCAGTTTCCTTATGTGTTTCTTCAGGTGGGGGACTGCATGATGGAGCGGCATACTCTAAGACTGGCCTCACGTAGGCAGTGTAAAGCTCCCTAAATGTCTCCTTACTTATGTTTCTGAATGATGTTTTAACTTTAGCCAGTGTAGAGTACGCTGCTGTCGTTATCCTATTTACATGTGCCTCAGGAGTTAGGTTAGGCGTTACCTCCACTCCCAGGTCTTTTTCTCCAGCCCATCCTCCTGTTGTGGCAATACTTATAGTAAACGATGAGGACCATAGTATATATACCGACGAACAACGAAATTAGAACGTAGAAATCGGCACTATTGACTTGGACAAACCGGAAAACTTTTTTTTACTTGTGCTTCTTTGACAAGCTAAAGTAGCCTAACCTTCCTAGGCCTAATATAGTGTGTGTGTGTGTACTCACCTAGTTGTGCTTGCGGGGGTTGAGCTCTAGCTGTTTGGTCCCACCTCTCAACTGTGTGTGTGTGTGTGTGTATGTGTGTGGTGTGCGCGCGCGTGTGCGGGTGTGACCGGAAGCGCGCGAACAACCCGTTCAACAAAGCAAGCGAGAAGTGTTCAACTTTGAACTTCATGGGAGACTGTAGATGGCCGCCTCCCGCCCTAACAGCACATATACACACATACCCATTGTTACATTTCACCCCAAACACCTCACACTGTACACGGAGTCCAGTGACTCTCAGATCTCGACTCGCCATCGGGGAATATCCCGGGTTCGAGTCCCGGGCGGGATAAAATAAATGTTAAGATACGTTTCCTTTCGCCTAATGCATCTGTTCACCGAGCAATAGATAGGCACCGAGGAGTTAGGCAACTGTTGTGGGGTTGCAGCTTGGGAAAGGTCAGTAGTTAGACCTTGGAGGGGACCTCGATACAAGGCTAAAGTGTGTGTATATTTTATATATATATATATATATATATATATATATATATATATATATATATATATATATATATATATATATATATATATATATATATATATATATATATATATATATATATATAAAATATACACGTTGCTCTGAATGGAGCAACGTGAGTAGAGAGTTTGAAAGAGTAACTCAGGTATTGGTGAACAACGGATATAGCAACGCGGAAATAAACGCTGCTATAAGAAGACACTTGGACCGTTGGTATAATTCAGAACCTAGAACAGAAACCACAACACCCCCAATAAAATTATATTACAAATCAACCATGCACAGTGAACATATAAAAGAGGAAAGAATAATGAAAGAAATAATCCGTAAAGGAGTAAAAGCACTACTCCTAACCAAAACATAAACCTGATAATATTCTACAAAACCAAGAAGACTTCCGAACTCCTTATCAAAAACAGCCCGAAGCCGACGGAGAACCCTCTACAGCAGTCAAGCGTTGTATACATGTACACTTGCCCCCACGAAGGATGTAACCTTCAATGTAAGTACATAGGTATGACGTCGACCAAGCTGACGAGGCGTTTGACATGCCATCTTCAATCTGGTGCCCCTAGGAATCACATGAGACAAGCCCATGACATTACTCTAACAAGAGAAATGTTGAACAAGAATACTTGCATAATAGACAAAACCCAAGATTCAAGAAGATTACAAATTCTTGAGGCAATTCACATAAGAATAGAGCGACCTACCATGAACACCCAAATCACGGAACTATTTACTCTACCCACCATGAGAGTAAGGAGAAGACAAGAACATATCGATGCCAAACAGAAGACAATGTCCAACATAACAGGCCAATTACACTGGATTAATCTTTGTGTTTAGATAGGAGATGCCTCGTATGGCCAATAAGCCTTCTGCAGCCCCTATGTTTATCCCTTATGTATCCCCCCATGTTTTTCACCTTCATTGTATTATCACCTGACCTAATGCGGGTATAAAATCAACTAGTATTGTAAGATTGTTCACTTGAGAATGAACCATGGAGGTTCGAAACGTCGTGCAAATTATACAAATAAATGTAATACACTCTATAGTAAATCACTTCTTTTCTTCACCTTAAAAGTACGAAAATGAGTTTTGGAGAACTCCTATTCCAATTAAGCCCTGATGCTAAGAAAATAGTTAGAGGGATAGAAGCCCTAAACCAGAAAATAATAAATACAGAATATGCGGTCATATTCAATGAAACATGTTTGAAAGATATAACCTGCTGCCAGTATACATATATATATATATATATATATATATATATATATATATATATATATATATATATATATATATATATATATATATATATATATATATATATATATATATATATATATATATATATATATATATATATATATATATATATATATATATATATATACTCAGGCTTCCTGTCCCCGACAAAACGAATTACTACTCTTCCACCCCCCTTACTGCTGCAGCTAATATTGATATGTCTGGCCATAGCCTATTGGTATTATTATACATAGCTCACAGGATGAGTATGGGGTGCACAATAAACTGCCGCTCACAGGATGAGTATGGGGTGCACAATCACATTGTGCACCCATAATCAGTTATAGTCAGCTGTGGCCCGGTGACCGTCGTGTTTATAGACAAGATGGTGAAGTTGTGCGTTTGGGATAAAGGCACAAAAAGGTTCATTAAAACGTAGAAGTTTTATTCGGTATTCATGTGTTTATTTACATTGTTATGTGTGAGATTGTCGTGGTGCTTGGCTTTGGTCAAGCCTATTATCAAAGTGCACTATTATTATCATCTACCCAAACCAATATATAATGCTGACTTACTGGAAGTCAATTACTATATTAATTTTGTGGTATAAATTATTCCTACGCTATTAATGTCGAACAGAGTTGCGACTTTCTATTACATAGCCTAATACATAGTTTAGGCTAGAGCAGCGGTCTCCTTGGACTGTACCGCCACCATCCTTGGGACACCACTACACGACTGTCTCTACATTAATAACATGATTAGGGCTTTTGTAGCCATGTTCTCCTTTGGCTATTTGTTCCTATCGTAAGTATGAAGTTTGATTGAGAGTACCTTAGTCAAGACTGCTCGCTTCAAAGAGTACCGAGAACCATCTACTCGCCATTGCCGGTTTCGTAGGAGTTGAGCCTTCGTGAACACTACTTAAATCTATCGGCACACAAATTAAAGAATTAAAATTTGTCACTCCACAGACAAAAAGAGGTCTTTTGGAGATACGGCAAGTCCTGTTGACATACCCAAGGCCTTGGGAACACCCTGAAGGTCCTGTTGACACACACAAGGCCTTGGGAACACCCCGAAGGTCCTGTTGACACATGAAAGTTCTAGTGAACAAAGGTTCGAGAGGAAGTCATGGAAGGAGCAAGGCGTCTATGAAGAGGATGATGCCGTTGGTACAGAGGAGGAAGGTGTCGCTGACGGAGGCGTGACGCAGGGAGAGGCGTCCATCAGTCACCGTGAGGCGGAGGGTGCGGGAGGCCTGGCGGGGTCGCAGAAGGGACGTCGAGCCCTCCTGCAGCGCCCGCGGCATCACGAAATCCTCCAGAAGGTGGGTGTTGAGAGACTGTGGGAGTAGAGTTGTTGTCAGGAAGCTATCCACACAGGGCGGGTACAATCTTTATCTATACACACATGGATCCCCTCTGGTAATGGTGGGGGGGGGGGTTGTCACTCATCTGGTTGTAGGGGGTCACTCGCTTGGTTGTGGTGGGTCAGGTGGGGTCACTCACCTGGTTGAGGAGGCTGAGGTCATGGATGATGCGGTAGTAAGTGAAGGTGTCAGTGGCCCACGTCTCCATGTCCTCGTCCTTCACCGCCAGGAGGGTGTAAGGTCCCACTCCAAGGCTCAGGTCCCGCCACGCCCACACACCTGCCTGTGGGCGCACACCTGTTACACCTGTCTGTGGGTGTATACCTGCCTCACCCCCCCATACCTGGCTGAACAGCCTGTCCTCCTAAGGTTTCCCAACGCCAAGAAAACGGTCAATTTAAAGTGTCCTCTCCTAACCTACCAGAGGACCCAAAACAGAAAACGGGACAGTATGTCACTTTCGCCAGCTTCTATTTTCTAGTACGACAATTTTTGGCCTTGAATGAGGGTGTATACATCTGCCTCAACCACACGCCAGCATGGGGGCATACACACTTGTCTCTCCACATACACATGTATTCGAATGAAACCTATGATACGCCTACCTTACCTACACACCTGCCCTTCTTGAGATGATTTGACTGAATCGTGTGGGTAGGTGCCCTACCCACACACCTGCCTCGGAAAACAAAGCCGACTACTCATTTACAGGGCCTTCGTCTATTTATAATCCATTCTCATTTACAATTTATCTATTCTCGCCTGTTCACAAAACTGCCCCTATTTATAAGGCAAAATGATTATGGTGAAGAGAGAGAGAGAGAGATCGTGGGCGTACCTGTGTAAAGAGAGCGGTGAAGCGCGAGAGGGTGGGCGTGAGGGCGAGGGTGCGGGCGAGGGTGTGTGTGGGTGGAGTCAGCACCTTGTCCAGTACGTGTACGTACCCATTGAAGGCCACGTGGTCGCTGCTCGTCACCACTCCATCCTCAACACTCATCACCTGAGGAACACAGGAACTATGAGAATATCTTTTGGCGCAGTGCAATGTATCAAGTAAGTAATTATCCAAAGGATAATCTCCCCTCCAAGCCAGGGAGACTATGCACCACCATCAACGTCGCTGGATATTCAAAAGGTGCTAAATATAACCGAGAACACCAGTACGAGAACAAAAGCACACAAGGCAAGCGATATCAAAGGTATGGGATTCACTAAGGATTCTATTGAGGGATAAATGACCTCGAGGGACAGTTGGGATGCAAGACACAGGATTGCGGAATGACTGACTGGGTAGAAATCTGAATAAGGAATGCATTTTCGGGAAATAGGACATGTGCACATAGCCTTGTTAGCGGCAGTGTCCGCACGCTCATTTAAGGTAATACCAATATGGCTGGGAACCCAGCAAAACTCGACTGTCTGAAATCTGCTCCAGATAAGAAACAGCCAATATCAGATTTCGACTACCACAGAATGCATAAGATTACACGACGCCAAAGCTATGAGAGCACTGCGAGAGTCAACCACAATGACAGTGTTGACGTCGGAAAAACGGTTGAAGAGCATACAAAATCACACCATTCAGCCGTGATGATGCTAGCCTCCAGGATGGGTCGCACCTAAAGGTTTAGTCCGGAAAGACTACGGAGTAATCAACACCGTCGGCAGATTTAGACCCATGTGAATAGGGCAACAGAATGCGAGCGCGAAGAAAAATGTTCAAGAAAAAGACGTTTCATAACTATAGGAGGAGTTGAAGACTTTACCATGTGGGTCAAAACTTGCAAACCTTCGCAAATGGGACCCTCCATGGGGGCAAGGATGGAATGACGAGAAGACATATGACAAAACACAAAACAAAAGGGAGGTTTGTGAGATATCCTTATTTAAAAAGGAAGGTTGTGAAAGGGGCCTACAGGAGAAGCAAACAGCCAAAGCCTTGCAAAAACGAAAATGAGGATGCTGCAGAGACCTTGCGAGGTAGCAAAAGCAGTAACGATTCCGACGATCCCTGTAGCGACAAGACGACGATTTCAACATACAAGTTCTGGGAAGAGGACGAACAAAAGGCACCAGAGCCGAGGCGCAGCAAAGCATTGTTCAAAGCATCAAGACGACAAAGGGTGGAAGGAGAGTCAGGGGCAACCACAATTCAGTTTAGACAGCACGAGAGAAGAGGGCAAATAGAGGAGTACGAGTCTACCAGCACCCTAATAAGTATGGAACAAGACTTAGTAATGTAAGGGCCTAATTAGAGCATTCGACTCTGAGGTAAGAGATATGGTGTGTGACGAAGACAAACGAGTGTTAAAGAACAACTCCCTAAGGTGCATCAAAATATTTATACCGAAGGGGCTTACTATATTGCGACAACGGTGCACGAAGAAATACTTGCTTCTGAATACAATTTATAACTCAAATCTTAGGCATAGAGAATGTCAAGCCAAAATTGGTGGCCCCGGGCGACACGGCATCAATCTCAAGCTGGAGCTGGCGTTGGAGGAGAGGGAAGTCATCCCCACGACAGCAGAGTGTGAGGTCGTCACCGTAAGGGGCAGAGAAAATGCCAGGGGGTAAAGAGGAAGTAAGACCATTAAGGGTAAGGAGGTAAAATGGCAGTGCTAAAAACACTACCCAGGGGAACACCTTCGACTTGATGAATGGAGGCTGAGAAGGTGCCACCAAGTCTCGCTTTAAAGAGACGACGAGAGAGAAAGCCATGAAGGAAGAGCAGGAGATTGCCACAAAGACCAAAATAATGAAGTTGGTGTTATAAGCCTTTTCCAAGTCAAAAAGAACAGCAACCACGGAGGATTTAGCGGCAATGGTAGAACAAATGAAGACCTCTAGGTCCACTAAAACATCAGTTGTGCTGCGACACTTGAGTCAAAAGCGAAGCTATACTGTACCACGACACCCAATACTCAATATAGGAGTTTGCTCGCAGCTGGACCTCTGCAGTTTCCATTATTTTTATGTAGAGGATTTCGTCCATTTGTATTATCTTTGTCACCTCACACCACCTTAACTTTTGCTTGGGATTTGTGTCTAGAGGCGAGTCTCTCAGCTGGTGTAGTCTGTCTCTGTCATTTGTGGTTTTATTGTACTGAGGTCCGGGGTTACGTAAAATGTTGTTAATGCCCATTGATAACGGGTTCAGGAGATGACTCAACATTCAGCTGTAAACAAGTTACAGTATTATTGAACTAGTTACAGTGTGTTTACACTAAAACAGCACTATATTCCCAGGACACTGTACACTTAGGGCACTTAGTTGATTGACAGTTGAAAGGCGGGACCACAGAACCAGAGTTCAACACGCCCCCCCCCCCCCCCCCGCGCAAGCACAAGTAGGTGAGTACAGCATCAGTGGGAAGAAGGTCTCGTACAAGATATTCAGAGAAAATGGAGCCACGAGCAGTAACTAAGTTGTTTGATCTTGTATCACAGGTCCTCGCACAAACTTTATAATAGTTTCATGCTAAGATTAAAGAAACAAATCTTGTTTTATAGAATCAGAAGCAATTGTAGATTTTTATGTAGCGAGGCTTGTAGAATTGAGACTGAGAGCGTCATCTTCTGGAGTGTAGTGCGTTAAAAGCTGTTGGAAACTGCGTGGAATAGTTAATAGGCTTAGTAATCCATGTCGTGGTATGAAACGTCAAGTTCATTTAATACGAGTTTATTTCTGAGAGCGAGAGGCAGAGTTAGAGACAGAACCAAGAAACATAATATCAGTGGGGCGGGTTATGCTTAACTTGACGAACAAGTATTGGAAGGTCGAGACTGACCTTAGGGTGGATCTTGATCCTGAGGGAGGCACCCTGGAGCCTGGAGGAGAGAAGATGGTTGTCCTTGAGAGTGAAGGAGGCGTGGGCGCCCTCTGCCAGGTGGTAAAGCACCAGGTTCCTTAAGGCGTCCAGGTTCCTCACCAATGATCTCTTCAGTCCTGCCAAAGACCACAGCATCCAGACATGTGTGAGGATCTTGCGGGAAGACTCAAGCACAGTGCCAAGAACAACATAACTCTTACAAGGAAGACCTTCATCAAACAACCATTTGCTACTACATATCAATTTACATATGTATAAATTATCATTATTTTAGGAATATCAGATTTGATACAACGAAGCGTTGAAGCTTTTTTTACGTTTGTGTGTGTGTGTGTGTGTGTGTGTGTTTACTAGTTGTGTTTACTAGTTGTGTTTTTGCGGGGGTTGAGCTTTGCTCTTTCGGCCCGCCTCTCAACTGTCAATCAACTGTTTTACTAACTACTTTTTTTTTTTTTTCCACACACACACACACACACACACCAGGAAGCAGCCCGTGACAGCTGACTAACTCCCAGGTACCTATTTACTGCTAGGTAACAGGGGCACTTAGGGTGAAAGAAACTTTGCCCATTTGTTTCTGCCTCGTGCGGGAATCGAACCCGCGCCACAGAATTACGAGTCCTGCGCGCTATCCACCAGGCTACGAGCCCACACAGGCCCACCCTGTGTGTGTGTGTGTGTGTGTGTGTGTGTGTGTGTACTCACCTAGTTGTACTCACCTAGTTGTGTTTGCGGGGGTTGAGCTCTGGCTCTTTGGTCCCGCCTCTCAACCGTCAATCAACAGGTGTACAGATTCCTGAGCCTATCGGGCTCTGTCATATCTACACTTGAAACTGTGTATGGAGTGAGCCTCCACCACATCACCCCCTAATGCATTCCATTTGTCAACCACTCTGACACTAAAAAAGTTCTTTCTAATATCTCTGTGGCTCATTTGGGCACTCAGTTTCCACCTGTGTCCCCTTGTGCGTGTTCCCCTTGTGTTAAATAGACTGTCTTTATCTACCCTATCAATCCCCTTCAGAATCTTGAATGTGGTGATCATGTCCCCCCTAACTCTTCTGTCTTCCAGCGAAGTGAGGTTTAATTCCCGTAGTCTCTCCTCGTAGCTCATACCTCTCAGCTCGGGTACTAGTCTGGTGGCAAACCTTTGAACCTTTTCCAGTTTAGTCTTATCCTTGACTAGATATGGACTCCATGCTGGGGCTGCATACTCCAGGATTGGCCTGACATATGTGGTATACAAAGTTCTGAATGATTCTTTACACAAGTTTCTGAATGCCGTTCGTATGTTGGCCAGCCTGGCATATGCCGCTGATGTTATCCGCTTGATATGTGCTGCAGGAGACAGGTCTGGCGTGATATCAACCCCCAAGTCTTTTTCCTTCTCTGACTCCTGAAGAATTTCCTCTCCCAAATGATACCTTGTATCTGGCCTCCTGCTCCCTACACCTATCTTCATTACATTACATTTGGTTGGGTTAAACTCTAACAACCATTTGTTCGACCATTCCTTCAGCTTGTCTAGGTCTTCTTGAAGCCTCAAACAGTCCTCTTCTGTTTTAATCCTTCTCATAATTTTAGCATCGTCCGCAAACATTGAGAGAAATGAATCGATACCCTCCGGGAGATCATTTACATATATCAGAAACAAGATAGGACCGAGTACAGAGCCCTGTGGGACTCCACTGGTGACTTCACGCCAATCGGAGGTCTCACCCCTCACCGTAACTCTCTGCTTCCTATTGCTTAGATACTCCCTTATCCACTGGAGCACCTTACCAGCTACACCTGCCTGTCTCTCCAGCTTATGTACCAGCCTCTTATGCGGTACTGTGTCAAAGGCTTTCCGACAATCCAAGAAAATGCAGTCCGCCCAGCCCTCTCTTTCTTGCTTAATCTGTGTCACCTGATCGTAGAATTCTATCAAGCCTGTAAGGCAAGATTTACCCTCCCTGAATCCATGTTGGCGATTTGTCACGAAGTCCCTTCTCTCCAGATGTGTTACCAGGTTTTTTCTCACGATCTTCTCCATCACCTTGCATGGTATACAAGTCAAGGACACTGGCCTGTAGTTCAGTGCCTCTTGTCTGTCGCCCTTTTTGTATATTGGGACCACATTCGCCGTCTTCCATATTTCTGGTAGGTCTCCCGTCTCTAGTGATTTACTATACACTATGGAGAGTGGCAAGCAAAGTGCCTCTGCACACTCTTTCAGTACCCATGGTGAGATCCCATCTGGACCAACCGCCTTTCTAACATCCAGATCAAGCAGGTATCTCTTGACCTCCTCTCTCGTAATTTCGAACTCCTCCAAGGCCGCCTGGTTTACCTCCCTTTCTCCTAGCACAGTGACCTCACCCTGTTCTATTGTGAAGACCTCCTGGAACCTCTTGTTGAGTTCCTCACACACCTCTCTGTCATTCTCTGTATACCTGTCCTCGCCTGTTCTAAGTTTCAATACCTGTTCTTTCACTGTTGTTTTCCTTCTGATGTGACTGTGGAGTAGCTTTGGTTCGGTCTTGGCTTTGTTTGCTATATCATTTTCAAAATTTTTCTCTGCTTCTCTTCTCACCCTGACGTACTCATTCCTGGTTCTCTGGTATCTCTCCCTGCTTTCTGGTGTTCTGTTATTCCGGAAGTTCCTCCACGCCTTTTTGTTCAGTTTCTTCGCTTCCATACATGCCCTATTATACCATGGATTCTTCTGTTGTGTGTGTGTGTGTGTGTGTGTGTGACTCCTAACAGTTGGCACTACGCTAGCACTGACCTCTGAGGGCCTGGTTGGACGGGGCGAAGACGGTGTAGGGGCCGAAGGAGACAAGATCTTTGAAGAGGCCGACCTTCCTTACAAGGTGTATGTACCTGGTGGCACCCGCCCGCCGCGCCACCTGTACCAGGCTCAGGGCTGCGGGAGGAACCAGGCTCTAGTCCTATTATTATAATAATAATTTATTCTCAAGAAGGTACAATGGGTTGGAGTGATTACATAAGATTGGTATTTTTACATTCACGCAAAGCCACTAACACGCGTAGCGTTTCAGGGAGGTCCTTAATTAATTAATCTAACATATCAGGCAAGATGAAAAGGTACATTGTAGCAAGGTTTTATATCAACAAATAACTACAATGTAAGTTGACAGAGGTAATTACACTGGTAAGGATATATGTATATCTAAGGATAAGTAAGGATATATACTCGCCTAGTTGTACTAGGTGAGTACAACTAGGTGAGTATGTCTTAAGTACTAATATTGAGTAAGTGGGTAGTACAAGATACTGTGCGAGTTTGAAGCACAGTGTAGGAAACTATGAGGATGAAATTAGGTACTTTTTGGTTTTACCTTTGAATAGGGTTGGATAATTTTGTAATTCGTTTTTTAATTCATGTTTTATTCATTCATTCATCATTTTAATTTAATTAATTCCTGAATACTCTTCCCTCCTGCTCCATCCTCAACACAACACGTGTGTCACACGCTCCCACAGAATTATATTAATCATTCCTATTAATGAAAATATTGTAAAATACATCCAACCTTGCACGAGAATTATGCCTGTTCTGCGTCCCCCCCCCCCCCCCACAGCGGGGGGGGGGGGGGACGCAGAACCTAAATATCGGCCCGTGCCGAAGACATATTTATAGTAATTCAGTGTTCGAGAAGTGAAGGTGTGGCATGTATGAGGCAGAGGGAAGAGTCAGATTCCAAGTACATGAATTCATAAGTAACGGAATTCAAGGGGTTAAACTCCTGCATCAGTAACTGAGAGACTGAAGCCAAGAGCTGGAGCTCAACCGTGGTAAGTCTAGCCAGGTGGGAGGAGGTAGGGGGGTAGACTCACCCATTGGGGGGATGAGGACGCGGTCGACGTAGTGCAGGACGCCGTTGGAGGTGATGACGTCAGGTGTGGTGACGGTGGCGTTACCGATGGTGAGGGTGAGGGAGGCGCTGCAGCCCACGGGGAGGGAGCTGCCCTCCACGGTCTTGAGCCGGACCTTGCCTCGCAGCCCTGTTGAACACTCCGTCCCCTCCACCAGGTGCTGGCGGCCCAGGGCTGCCGGGGAGGTAATGTAGGTGACGTCAGGGCGACCAGGATGACACCTCGCTGAGGGACTGAGCCCTCCAGCAAGGAAAGAATGATCAGAATATCCCACTAAATAAATACTCTACAGCACCTAGCTAGTACGTCTGCGGCGGCCGTACGTCTGTCGCAATAACAAGAGATAAGAATTAAGAAAATTGCAGAAAGATCATTGGCCCACACGAGGCAGCTATTTATATCCATCCTAACTCTTATACATGTCTAACCTACGCTTGAAACAGTCAAAGGATCCTACATGTAATCTGTTCCACAGATCAACACCCGTGTTTCAAACTAGTATTTATCCATGTTGTTCCTAAATCTAAACTTACCGAATTTATATCCATTGTTTCGTGTTCTATTTTGTGTTGTTATTTTCAATATCTTATTAATATTTCTTTTGTTATGACTATTCATCAACTTATGCACTCCCGTAACGTCGCCCCTCACTCTTCGTCTTTCTAGAGAAATTACACTAAACTTTCTTAAAATCTCTCCTTATGGAAGATTTCCAATTCCTGGGATTGACTGTTATCCATCACTAAACGCATTTAAGTGAATTCACGTTCATTCTATAGTATGGCGACCAAAAATGGAGTTAATAATCTAAATAGGGCCCAAACAAGAGCAAGATTCAACTGAAAAATAACAATGGCAATTTCACGTGTCTCCATTACACCGCGCCTCTCACTTTCTCCTCCACTTCAAAAGCCTATCGTGGTCAACTTTAGCCAATTTTGAGTCTTCTGGATTTATTTCTTTATAAATTTTCGTGCCGTCTGCAAATGTGCAAATATTGCTCCTCGCTCCAGAATCTAAATAATTTATATGTATGGAAATAATTTATTTAGGTTTGTCGGGGACAAGAAGCCTGTGTATATGTACACTTTAGGCTTATATTGAGGTCCCTCAAGGTCGAACTACTGACCTCCCCCAGGATGAAACCCCCACAACAGTTATCTAGCTCCCGGTATCTATTTACTGCTAGGTTAACAGAGGCATTAGGTAGAAGGAAACATGTCCGGCAGTTTCTGTCCCGCCCGGAAATGGAACCAGGATTCCCGATTGTGAGTCGAGAACGAAGCCAACTGTACCATGAGACCCCAGGACAGAGTAAGTAATTATCAAAAGAAGGCACCAAGCCGGGAAGGTTATGTCCATCAAATGTCCGGAATAAATCAGAGAGCGCTAAACTGAATGACAGCAATCTGTCTAACATGAGCGACCCTTTGTAAAATAATTTTGTAAATAATTTGTATTTTTCAAGATGTAGACGAGTGACATGTGCGAACATCAATTCAACCAATTTTCCCTACAATATACGTTGAGGTAATTGACCGATAGTTTGATGCAAGCGATTTATTCCCTTACTTAAAGATTGGCATAACATTTGCAGCTCTCCACTATTCCGGTACTTTGCTAGATTCTAATGATTTATTAAATATGAAAGTCATGGGCTCACTTAGCTCTTCCTTACATTCTTTTAGGGCCTTGACAAAGACCGTCTGGTCCTGCGGATTTGTGTGGGATCAGTATTTTGGTAACGACTCAAAACTCAGCTTGCCTTCTTCGCTACCTACAGAATTGCTTAAGTAGTGGCAAAGTATCACGTTCTTCTCTAGAAAATACATAGACAAATTACAGTTTCAGAATCCTACCCTTTTCTTTGTCATTACCAGTTACCTGACCTAACCGTTTCTATGGACCATTGTTTTTCTCTAATTTTTGTTTGATGTATTTTAAAAACTTCAGGACTTCTGTAAGGACGTACCTTGGAGGGCGGGGAGGTACTTGCCGTCGTGTATCTCAGGACGTACCTTGGAGGGCGGGGACGTACTTGGCGTCGTGTCTCTCAGGACGTACCTTGGAGGGCGGGGACGTACTTGGCGTCGTGTCTCTCAGGACGTACCTTGGAGGGCGGGGAGGTACTTGCCGTCGTGTCTCTCAAGACGTACCTTGAAGGGCGGGGAAGTACTTGCCGTCGTGTCTCTCAGGACGTACCTTGGAGGGCGGGGACGTACTTGCCGTCGTGTCTCTCAGGACGTACCTTGGAGGGCGGGGACGTACTTGGCGTCGTGTCTCTCTTGTCTCTCAGGACGTACCTTGGAGGGCGGGGGACGTACCTTGGAGGGCGGGGAAGTACTTGCCGTCGTGTCTCTCAGGACGGGACGTACTTGCCGTCGTGTCTCTCAGGACGTACTTGGCGTCGTGTCTCTCAGGACGTACCTTGGAGGGCGGGGACGTACTTGGCGTCGTGTCTCTCAGGACGTACCTTGGAGGGCGGGGAAGTACTTGCCGTCGTGTCTCTCAGGACGTACCTTGGAGGGCGGGGAAGTACTTGCCGTCGTGTCTCTCAGGACGTACCTTGGAGGGCGGGGACGTACTTGGCCGTCGTGTCTCTCAGGACGTACCTTGGAGGGCGGGGAAGTACTTGCCGTCGTGTCTCTCAGGACGTACCTTGGAGGGCGGGGAAGTACTTGCCGTCGTGTCTCTCAGGACGTACCTTGGAGGGCGAGGACGTACTTGCCGTCGTGTCTCTCAGGACGTACCTTGGAGGGCGGGGAAGTACTTGCCGTCGTGTCTCTCAGGACGTACCTTGGAGGGCGAGGACGTACTTGCCGTCGTGTCTCTCAAGACGTACCTTGGAGGGCGGGGAAGTACTTGCCGTCGTGTCTCTCAGGACGTGCCTTTTCGCTCTGATGTCCATAGGGAATGGAAAGGATGGGGGAGGTAGAGGGATGGGGAGAAGAAATTCTGGAAGAGGATGCGGGTGTAGAGAGAGAGGAGCCTTGGAGGGCGGGGAAGTACTTGCCGTCGTGTCTCTCAGGACGTACCTTGGAGGGCGGGGAAGTACTTGCCGTCGTGTCTCTCAGGACGTACCTTGGAGGGCGGGGAAGTACTTGCCGTCGTGTCTCTCAGGACGTACCTTGGAGGGCGAGGACGTACTTGTCGTCGTGTCTCTCAGGACGTACCTTGGAGGGTAAGGAAGTACTTGCCGTCGTGTTTCTCAAGACGTACCTTGGAGGGCGGGGAAGTACTTGGCATCATAGGTGATAGAGTCGAGGAAGCGGCGCGGGAGGAGGCGGAAAGCATCATTGGTAGGAGCGAAGACGGTGAGAGGGCCGGAGTGCCGCACCAGGCTCACCATCTCCGCCTGCAGAACACCAACGTCGCCACCAACACCAGGCAGCAAGAGACACGAAATATCAACGAAAACACTGATCATACACCGACCTCCAGGATACACACAACACCCCCGGCAGGAGGAGGAGGTATAAGCCTGGAAGATGGGGGAGGGAGGGGGCGCTGGCCGACACTTCGGCGGAGAATATACTCAGATGTGTTCAATGAACGATATAAGATATACCCATAGAGATAAGAGTAGTGAGCCTGTCATAATGCAAATACTCACATAACCAAGCACAGAGTAGAAGATGGTGAGCTTCGGGTCGCCGGAGATGAGGTCAGCTAGGGTCATAGTGTAGGCGGGGGGCAGCGGCCTGCTGATGACCTGTACCACGCCGTCACGCGCGTGCAGGTCCACACGCACCACCGGCACACAGTTCACCAACACCATCTGTCACACAATACCATCTGTGATATCACCTGACACACACCTGTGAGTGTACATCACCCCCGGGTGACTGACAAGCCTCACACTGTACATGTGGGCCCGGGTGACTAACAAGCCCTGGTCTCCAACAAGCCCCACAGGGTGCGCACATACTGTCGGAAAACCCGACACCATTTAATAATATTACATACAATAGGCAGATAATATTGCTGCTGTTGTATACACAAGTTAATCTATAGAAAATGCAGCTTGTAGTAGAATTTTCCGCTAATAGAAAATGGGATATCATTGCCACATAGTACTATAAATTCACCAGCTATTCTGTTGGGAATTATTCTTAAATACAGTAGTCTTTGGACTTTTAATATCATAAAACATCTCATTTGAATTAACTTAATTATCAGTATCAAAATAGAGTAAATGTGACCCTTCTACCACTTACTGACATCTGGAAAAAGTGAGCCAGGAGCGTCAGTGGTGAGAGAGAGGTCAGCCATTGTTAAGATCAGAGTCGTTGGAGCAAATTTCGCTCCTATAATTCTCTTGGACGAAGTGTTATGGAGATCAACTTAAGTGCTCTACCATCATCAACACGCTGTCAACAACCACAAGGGAAGTGTCTTTCCGAAATCTTATCTAAGTCATTATTGGCCAGTAATGTTAGGTAGATAGGATTAATTCCGGTTAGAACACGAACGATCGACACAACACAGGTAATTAGGCCTTGGTCCTTATCTTATATAATATACAGTGTTTTCTCTGATATAGCTGTCATATATTAGGATTCCGGCTTTACAGCTAGTGCCCTTTGTCAGGAACAAGAAGAGGAAGCAAGAATTAATCTTGGTACATCAGTTACTTGAGTGTTGGATGCTAGCCTCACACGAGGATAATTTAGTGTCTACATCCCAGTTATACCTGGTGGATTAAGCCTACCATACAATAAGATAAGGCACCTCCTCAATTTATATACTAATATATGTAGTTTAATACTGTAGTTTGATTGGCTGCATATATATAAATTTAATATACCCCCCCCTAATGTGTAAAGATCGATTTGTGAGAAATATTGCAGAAATACAGTCCACTTAACATCATACCAATTGCTCTCGAAATATATAAATTAACGTAAATATAAATTCTATATAAATTCATATAAATTAAATATAAATCTCACAGGTCGGTTCCCACACATACTCCCACCCAGATGTACACACACACACACACACACACACACACACACACACACACACACACACACACACACACACACACACACACACACACACACACATGCCGTGACGTGGTGACAGCTGTCGCCTCTCCCTCCACTGACACAACTAATAATTATTGACCCTTTGCGTGTACCGTCACGTGACCACCTGTCCCCGTGGGGGGGGGGGGGTCAAAAGACGCTGTATCCGGATAATATTTACAGCATCAGATGGGAACAATGAGCCATCATTTGGTTGGTATAAATTCTGTTATGAATTTACCAGACGGTCACTATTTCTCTAGTGGCCTCGACGGGGACAGAAAGCCCGTGCCTTGCCAAGTGTCCCCTGATTGTTCCAGAGGATTGTTTTTCGAAATGGATTTCGGGCTGAAGTAATCTCTTGGACCCGGATTCACGAAGCAGTTACGCAAGCACTTACGAACGTGTACATCTTTCCTCAATCTTTGACGGCTTTGGTTACATTTATTTAACAGTTTACAAGCATGAAAACTTCCCAATCAACTGTTGTTATTGTTACAAACAGCCTCCTGGTGCTTCGGGGCTCATTAACTGTTCAATAATTGTAAACAAAGCCGCCAAAGATTGAGAAAAGATGTACAGCTTCGTAAGTGCTTGCGTAACTGCTTCGTGAATCTGGCCCTTGGCTTTTACGGCTTGGACGGGTAGGCGGTTCCATGGGGTTATAACCCTATTAGAGAGGGGTATCCGGCGGTGCTCGGGTGACACCACATCTCCACTGTGCACTTAATCACTGTAACCATCTTTACTACTTACCTCGCCCCTCTTCTCCGCCACCTTTCCTCTCCTTCACCACCTTCATTACCGTTCACCATCTTCTCTTCATCCCTGTAATCTTAGTTAATCTTAATAAGGATCGAGTCTCATTTAGCGAGATTGGAAATTAGTATGTTTTGTTATTTAATGCAAAGGGTAAGGGGGGGGGGGTTACAGGAGGGTCGATCCTCCTATGATTATCCCCGGCCAAAGACCAGTCACTCTGCAAAAATTGACGAGGTTAACCCCAAAAGCGTTAGGTCCTCAACCTCGAACAGACATTCTTTTATAGATTCAGATATGTTAAAAAGTTTCTCCTGTTTTCTATCCCACAGTTTAGCTTTTTGAGCGTGCAGGCTCTGGTATGTGTTCCATTTGACCATTTTAAAAAAAATTGTCTGGATAATATCCTCCAATTTGTTCAATATTTTAAACATTTCGATGAGATCAGCCTTGTCGTGTCTGGTTTGCAGTGTGGTTAGCCCTGAACCCTTAACCTGTTGTTGTTGTTGTTTCAGATTTAGCTACTCAGAACGAAGTGTCCATGTAGCACGGGCTATGGTGAGCCCGTAAACCCTCAACCGTTCTTGGTATGGGAGTCGACTTAGTCCTCGTGGTGAAGTGGCAAGACCCTCGCCTGGCATTTCACGAGCGCTTTGTCCTGATTTCCGATCCTGGCCGGGAAGGATTTACTGGGCGTCCATCCTTAACTGTAGCCTCTGTTTATCCAACAGTAAAATGGGTACATGGTTGTTAAACGATTTGGCGGGTCGCATTCCAGGGAACATAGGATTAAGGACTTGCCCTAAACGCTACGCGTGCTAGTGGATGTTCAAGAATGTAAGAACGCTTGTATAAATAAATAAATAAATAAATAAATAAATAAATAAATAAATAAATAAATAAATAAATAAATAAATAAATAAATAAATAAAATAGTTATAAAATTATTTTTGTTACCGTGTTGAACTTTCTCCAAAGCAGGTACAGAATATCGTTTTGAAGGCGCGGTCTCCATGCTAGGCTACAGTAATCCTGATGGGAGCGCACCAGAGACTTGTACAACTTCAAAGACTACTTTCTTTTTCGCGAAGGCAAAGGTTTGTTTGACTATTCCTCGAGTTTGGTCGATTTTTTTGTTATATATATATACTACATCCCGGACTTGTGGAAGTTTTAATGACTGGTGGATCCTAATTCCTAGGTCCTTTTCTTCGCCGGTCTGCTGCATGGTAGTGTTGCTGATATGATAGTTGTGATGTGCTGGGTTATGCTCTCATCCGTGACTCCTGGGCATTGTTTACGCTACAACCACCCATACACACGTCATCACTGACACCGTAGTTATAGTTCGTACACAGTGACGTGTGAGTGGAAGAGTTGTGCCAGTGGAAGGGATCCATATATGACGAGTCCCACCTGGAGAGGACAGCCCTCCCACCCCGACACTCACGGTCAGCACATAACGAGGGGGGAAGCGTGTAGTTGAGGGCGGGTGTTACCTGACTTATCAGGCCGCATCAGCAGGTGTTGCTGGCTGATTAACTCCCCCATGTTACTGCTGGGGAGGGAGGGAGGGAGGGAGGGAGATACATACCTTGTTACCAGTGAGGGTGACAGTGACGGGGTGGTCCTGGTACAGCGTAGGGAGGTGCTGGCCGTGGTAGAGGTGGGCGGTGTACCAGCGGCGAGGCAGCAGGTGGTACAGCAGTAGTGGGGGACCGCTCCACCTCTCCCCCATCCTCACAGCCCGACCCAGCTCAGACCACGTCGCAGAGTCCAGGTCCCTGAAACCCTTCCTTCATCTTATTACAGAGAAATTAAATAATTAAAATCTTTCACACAAAACAATTCCGATAAATTAGACTTTTAGTTCAGTTAATTATGAACGCCATACCCATCCTGTGAGCAGTGGAGGACCCATATACCCATTCTGTGAGCAGTGGAGGACCCATATACCCATCCTGTGAGCAGTGGAGGACTCATATACCCATCCTGTAAGCAGTGTTGGACCCACTGGACTTTTCATATTCAATAAGTGAGGTTAGGTACGTGAATACTCAGTGACAAAGTTTACATTTAGTTTTACATCTGTACCAGCTGCTGACGTAGCCGGTGCAGCCTTCCGGAGGTACTTGTAGCCAAGCCTAAACCCAACACTAATAACGCCTCGAAGTCTCATGACCTTCATGGACGACCCTAGATATGGACGACCTTCCTGGACGACCCTAGATATGCGATTTTTTTCTACATTGTAGTATGATGATTGAAAGAACAGCTAGTGGAAATTTCCACTCTGTTTCAGATCTATTAAATTTTGTTCGGTATATTATACTGCCATCAACTTGTTTCACGGGACGGCGGCCGCTGGCGACGAGGGACAGGGCGCCATGAAGGGCAAGACAGTGGGATGAACCAGGCGCTGCCGAAACGTCATCAATTCATCTTCCCAGTTCCTATATTTACTTTTAAAACTGAGTACCAAGTTAGTTTCACCTTTGTGTGACCCATTCCATTTATTTAATGCCTGATTTTCTCATTGATACATCACGTTAATGTGTTTTCTTTGTGATATCTAACGGGAGTGTCGGTGGCAGAACTATACCACGCCAGAGTGAGCGCAGGTGGTGTGTAAAAAAAAACTTGATTTGGGATCATCTCTATGCCTCAACCATCTCTATGCCTTGTGGATTCCTCAAGACCTGGGATTCACCTGAATCCAACGCTTGGGAGCACCCGTGATGCAAGTTCGCATCCTCCACATGATGCCTATTCATTCTCATTGATACATCATGTTATCTTGAGATGATTTCGGGGCTTAGCGTCCCCGCGGCCAGGTTCTCGACCAGGCCTCCTTTTTGTTACATCCCCCCCATCCCCAGGAAGCAGCCCGTAGCAGCTGTCTAACTCCCAGGTACCTATTTACTCCTAGGTAACGGGGGCATTAGGATGAAAGAAACATTTTGCCCATTTGTCTCCGCCTCCACCGGGGATCGTACCCGGAACCTCAGGACTACGAATCCGAAGCGCTGTCTATCCAGCTGTCAGATGCCTCTAAATGTAATTAGCTGTCAGGCGCCCTGAACGTTAATGTAATTTGTGTGCTAAGTGCGCCAGGGAGCACTTTAGCGTCTTGATGAGGCTCTCGGCGTCACACAAACCAAAACACACACAGGAGTAGGTGATGACACACTCGGCGTCATGCACTAATGTTTGCTTAGTCTTATTATTAAGTGTAAACATTGTGAGTGAGTGTGAGTGAGAGAGTTTAACATCGGGTTGTGAGCTCTCTGGTGATGCTTGACCAACCTTCCGGTGCGATGCTGGTCGCCCGCCTTAATACTAAAAGTTCCTCCTGGCGCCTCTGACTCATCTATGCCTAGTTTTCTTCTGCAGTCCCTCTATTTGCTCTTCTTAAGCACGAAACAATTGCCCTTTCGTCTACTTTATCGATTTCCCTTAGAATTGTAGCTGTCATATCCTGCCCGTTACCCCTACTCCTTATCTCCTGTGAGTTGAGGTGCAGTTACCTCAGCCTGTCCTCGTAACTCAACCCCTTAGCTCAGGAATAAGAGTCGTTGCATATCTTAGGAATTTAAAATAATAAAATAATAATAATAATAATAATAATAATAATAATAATAATAATAATAATAATAATAATAATATAATCAGGCGAGGGCTCCTTGCCGGGACTGCGTATTTCAAAGAGTCATTGTACAGGTGATGGCGGGCTTCTCTGTACAGACATACACTCATTGACTGTACTGTGTTCGAGTTTATCAAGCTCCTAGGCCTCGGAAGTTAAACATTTCTAAATGTTGTCATGTTTAAGTCTGAACCTGTGTGGGTGTGCGCGCGAGTGCGTGCGGGGTGAGTGCGTACCTGGTTGAGTGGGAGGAGGAGTGTGTGGGCGGAGGGGTGGGCGTGCAAGAGGGCGTGGAGGCGGTAGCGGTGGAGGAGGTGCAGGAAGCGGTCACACCCTCCCAGCTGCTCCCCCGTCGTCAGCGTGTCCTCCACCTCCTCCTCTGCTCTCGCCACAAACAAAAATATATCAAATAAAACCAAATATATCCCAAACCTGTAATTTGTAACATCATCATCATCATGAATGTCTTGTATTACATCGTACAAATTTCCTACTTCAAAGCGTGTACAGTATTGATATTTATTTATAGACGAAACTAAAAAATAAATGATGCTTAACATTTAATGACCTCCAAGTGATCCCGTCGCTCATACTGCGGCAGGCTTAACGCATGTTAGTTATTATTATGAGAACAAGTGAATTGTTTCCCAATAACATTACAAGTAGGCCTATAAAAAGAATACCATACAGTATTACACGTAGGCCTATCACGCAGTAACAAGAAAGCTGAGCTTTGTGATAAGTGTGAGAAAACTAGACCTCACTACCTTGTGAAAATGGAGAGATGGGATAGAATAGACATGATCACAACATACACGACAACGCCAGATATATGCAACAAAGCTAGTACTAGAAACAAGAGGACCGAGATACGAGGACAAACTTGCGGACCGGAAACCAACATCTCGGCGCAAGAGAACAGCTACACAAGACACGACCTCAACGCCAAAGATCTTAGGAGGCACACGCGAACTGGATGCGAACTAGACGGGAACGAAGACAGAAGCTAATTGGATAAAGATGATGATAAGGAGAGACTAAAAGCTGGGAAATAAGGACAGAATGATTCTCTGTGCTCAACCACTTTGACTGCTGGGGATCGAACGGCTCTGCATGAAGCGAAGCCGTTGTTCTACCATTCAAAGTGGAAGGACACATGGAACTAATTATTGATTGCAATTTGCAAACACGTTGTTAAGAGGAGCGTGTGTGTGTGTGCACTAGAAGGCCAGCAGAGATAGCGGGGCACCTACCTACAGGGCAGCCTTGTTCGCGGGCGGCCACCGTGTACCCCTCGCAGCACCGCTGACGGAGATACCTGTGGGGGAGCACACCTGTATCAGCGGGGTACGTCACCACACGTGTACATGGGGGGGGGGCACGCCACCACACGTGCAACAGATGCAGCCTTTCCTTACAATACAGTATATATTAAAACACATGTTTATGCACATTTTCCAGAGCAGCCGATCTGATGGTTGTGTCAGGTGTGTCAGCATGACAGTCAGGTATAACACAACGTTTTTACATATACTGGTATATTAGGGTTAATCGACAATATCAATACACTCTGATCGAGAGAATAACGTTCTGATAGGCTACACATCCTTCTGATTGATGAATACTACACCAATGAATTGTGAGCCCATCAGGAGTACTGAGTGTCAGAACTTGAACTCCTCTTAAAATCCATAACTAAAATGCATATTATATATATACACAGAGAATCTCTTCCCCTATGAAAGAGTTGAACTCAGGCTAACCAAGTGGCCAGCCAGTACACTAACCAATACACCATAGCAGATCATTAAGGGTTGTGAGCCGCCCGGCTTACAGTGAGCAATCAACTAAATATGATTGAGTTAGGAGAACGTATGGGGAGGGGGTTAATGCCTGGGGGGAACTCACGTGGGGGGAGGGCTAATACGTGGGGTACTGTATGGGGTACTCACGTGGGGTGGGTACAGTAGGTGCCGGGGGTCCAGGCCAGGGGGAAGGTAAGGTTGAGTGTGGGCACCTCCTCCACCACACACACATCGCGCCTGGGTATCAATACTGATATTTTATACATCATTTAACATGATTTCAGATAATCATGTAGAATAGACACTGTTAACATCAGCAATAAAAAGGATAGTAAGTTCCTTGGCCTATACATAAACAAGAGACTCAACTTCAGCACCCACATACAACACATTACCAAAAAAGTCTCAAAAATTGTCGGTATACATTCTAAAATCAGATATTATGTTCCCCACTCTGCTCTACTCATTATACTATGAGTTATATCCCTATTTTACATACGGTATCTGTGCATGGTGTTCAACTACTGCAAACTACCTCAAGCCCATCATCACCCAGCAAAAATCTGCTATCAGACCAATCAATAACAAACTCTGCTTTCAGACAACACACAGCCTCTCTGTTTAAATCCCTCAACATGCTAAACAAACTCACTCCACACATTCTCATGTGCCATTTACATGTACAAGACCACGTTCCTAGATGCAAACCCTGATCTGAAACTCTTCCTTGACTAATGTAACAGAACCCATAATCACTACACCAGAAATAAATATCTCTTTGATATCCCCCAGAGTCAAACTAAATCTGTGTAAACACTGTGCAAATAAAGGGGCCTAGTCTATGGAATTCGCTCCCTAACGAATTAAAAAGCTGTCCAACCTACCCCCCTTATTCAAAAGTAACACCAAAAAGTACCTAATTTCATCCTCATAGTTTTCTACATAGTGCTTCACACTCGCACTGTATCGTGTGCTACTACTCCAAAATATGTGCCTAAGCCATATAATTTCACCGTTGTAATCACTGCCATCATTTTATATCATGGTTGTTATGTTGAACGCAAATTTTACTACACTGTACCTAGACATAATCCTCAAATTATGATACAATGTATAATAATTGATATTTTATACATCATTTAAAATGATTTCAGATAATCATGTAGAATAGATGATTTAGTTCCTGAGCGAGGAACTGTACCTAGAAATAATCTTCAGATTTTACTAAAACGTACCTACTAATTTTCTTGCAATATACCTGTTAACTTTTAAAAATTTTGCTAGAAATTACCTACTTAAAATTATCTGTTAGATTAAAAACCTGCCCGAAACGCTATACCTGTTAGTGGCTTTATAAGAATGTAAAAACATTAATGCTATGTTCTCTCATAAACCCATTGTACCTTCTTGTGTGTATATATATATATATATATATATATATATATATATATATATATATATATATATATATATATATATATATATATATATATATATATAAATCATAATAGCATATAGTGGTTATAATGAATGTCCACAAGCATTATCTATCATCATTGCAAGATGCTTCATTACTGGGTAGATAGACATTTCCCCAAGATTTACGTGTCAGTTGCAAAACCACATACCAATGATCATTATCCATTAATATTTAATGGAAGTGGTTGTACAAGTAGCTAGAGGCTTAGAGAGCTTGTTCAGTGGATCAACTCACCCGGGCTTGTAAATTATCCTAGGGTTGGAGGCGAGGTGATAGGTCCCACTGGGGGATATATGGTACCTCCGGTCCCTCTGCTGCTCCGTCCAGCTGAGCGGCAACAGCAGCAGCAGCAGCAGCAGTGGTGTGGGAAGGTGCGGGGGCGTCAACATCCTGGTTAAGCTACGCCATGCTGGCCGCCACACCTGCCCTGCAAGGCGGGATGGTGTTTAACCAAGCGTCTTGTTCAAGGGTAAAGACATCAGACAACCTGTGGCGGTGACTTCAGACCCAAGACTAGGGGCAACTCCAATATACTTACTATTACCGCAGACAGTATATAAATATATCCATAGACACTGAAAAGTTATAGATATAAAATCAGTCCTAAGGAAAAATGAGTTAAACGAGTTAAAATCTACAAGCTGGTACTAATAAAGTTTTCGATTGGGCAGCGGGAAATAACATGATGCTTAACTGCGATAAATTTCAGATATGGTAAAAATTAAGACCTTAAACAAAATAGAGGGTACAAAACACAATCAAATCTGCCAGGTGTAGGAAAGCAGCATGTAAATAATCTGGGAATGTTGTCGTTTCACGACCTAACATTTAATAATTCATAATTAACTCATAATTCATTGCGTCGGGGGACAGGAAGCCAGCTTATACATACAGTACATGTTAGGCTTTTATCGAGGTTACATGTTAGGCTTTTACCACCACTGATGCCGCCAGAGGTGGTGTAGTTGTAACAACGAGAGACGGCTTCTATCCTGAGCGAGGAACATGAACACATAACCAGGCTTTCACTTTGCAGACAATTGTTTGCCATACTCCTTGCACTCAAATATTTATATATATCCAAGGTTTACACATTAACTATCATCCTTGAGTGCTCTCAACACCTCAAGTCAACTGTAACGGGCTATTGCTTGCAGCAATTAGGGCACCAGGTGAGGCAGGTCAAGGCCCGGCCCCCAAGGCCGACTCCCACAAATTAACTTATCTAGGGTATGTCAGACCCCTCCACACTGGACACAAGGAAAACTAGTATGTATGTACAACTAGTATGGTTTATTAAGCACAGAACCCTTTCCCACGTCAAAACCCCTGGTACTACATGTTAACACTTACTTTAAGCTAAGAATTTCCCTGGAACAGGGATAAAGGCTCACGAACGAAACACACTGTGCAGGCCTTGAAAAACTCTGAAAGATGTGCTGTTGGAATAACCCTTAACCCCCACAGACAAGAAAATCCTCTCAAAATTCACTCCAACAAACACAATAACAGGGGAGGAGGCTTAGAGTTGCATACAGAAATAATAGTTCTTAGGGGGGGGGGGGGCATAATGCTGAATATTAAAAGTTGTTCAATGTCAACAAATCTTTTTTGATTAGTTGTGTGTGAAAAGGGCTGCAATTGTGTCAAGTTTCAGTATTGCAGCCTAACTAGAAAGGGAGATTTGTTTTCAACGAATTTTACAGTTTCAAATCGAAACTACAACCACAAGTTTCAAACGAAATCATTTCTATGACACTCTTCTATCGCATTAGCATATAATAAAGGATCTGATTCAGTATTTTTTTCAAAATATGTTTAGTTTTACTAATATAAATAGTCAAAGTTTCATAAAAAATTATGCAAATATATCATGATTTATTACTATTATAAAATCAATAAATGAACTTAAGAAAAAAAAAGCTCGAATCAGATGTTGGTATTATGAGGTTCTTGCTGTCGATCTTCCAGGAGAAATTTTCGATTCCTTGAAGAGCAGACTTTGAATCACAAAATATTATTCCTCCTCCAATGTTTTTTTAATGTACTGGTTGCTAGTTGTAATGCTGCTAGTTCTGCTTGTGTAGAGGTCAGCCAGTTGTTTAACCTGACACTGACAGTCTTTGTGCAAATATTATTTCTATAAAACCTACATGCTGCTGCAGTCCGTCCAGAAGAAGATTAGACTGAGCCGTCGGTGTAGACACAGTGCTCGTGAGATCTTAAATTCTCGATGGAGGAGGCAATTGTTTCGAGTGTAACAGCTTTGAGAAGAGCAAGATTCTCATTACCTTTCTTGGTGTCAGGTGTGTATGATACTTGAATGGTGGGGTACAGATAACTCCTCTTATTTGTAACAAAATGTGTGTAATAATAAAAACGCAAGAATAAATGTTGTTTATGTCCTGCAGCTCTCAAACTCCTGAGATTTATTATTTGTGGCTCTTACAGTAAGCAAGTTTGGCCGCCCCTGATATATAGTGTACCCTTATGACTGTTAATTAATTCACTAATTTACATATTATATTTTCTTAAAACTAGCCAGGAGCTTACGTGGCTAAAACCATTTATACATCTGGCAGAAATGCAGACGCCTCAACTGCCTCCAGACTCAATGTATTCACTCCATCTGTTTGCAACATTATCATGTTTCACCATCTAAGACCACGCTTGTCATGACATGTGCTACACTAGGCCTAGGAACATTTAAGTTTCGTTTTTAGCTTTATTTTTTCCGGAATGTATTAAAAAAAAAGAACAAAAAAGGTATACTGGGATTTCATTGGTTCATATTGGTACTTTTGACAACAGTTACAAAAAGCACTATAATTTCAGAAGGATGGGTTAAAGAAATTCGAACCTCAAAATATTTAAATTATAACGGTTACAAAAAGGCTAATGGCAGGGCATAAAGAGCTACACCTCGTTCCCCCATAGTCACTGATAGGTAAATACAGCCGCCCACACCCACCACTGCCGCGCGCCTCCTACACTTTTTATTTATGTATATATTGTGACGGTAACGCGTTGGTGTTCGGCTGTTTAAGGCTAGGGGTATGGCCTCGTCACATAGTTATAAAAAAAAATAGAAAAACTGGAACTTCGTCTGTGGTAAGGTAAGGAGAAGACACACAAAACACAAGTAAACTTTAACAATGAAATTTTAATGACGTTAAATAAATCAAAACATGAAAATATGGACAAACAAATATGTATAATAAAATCAATGAATCAAAATAATAAGAATTCTTAAATGACAAAATGAAAAGTTACGTTAAGGCAAAATAACAAGAAGTGCAATACAACAGTAAGTGGGAGGTGCTGGAATATTGGCTTAAAGCCACCACCTCTCTCAGTACACTCTAGAGTCTAGCTGGGAGGTGTGCTGGCTACGAAAGCACGGAACATTCTGAGGACTGATGTTGGGGCGACCCCAGACATCAGGTAGTATTGGGGGTGAGTGCAGGTGCAGCCAGACCGGCGTCCAATCAGCGGAGTCGTAGCGGTCAACGGGTAGTTTGGTGGTTGGAGTTCGAACAGGTGGCTGGTTGCATACGTTTCTGCTCACCCTGGCAAGCCTTGCTGGTGCTGGTGTTGTCGGACATTTCTTCCATAGTCTTTTTATATAATTGTGAAGACGTAATTATGAAGGGAAGAGCAGGCTCAATCTCTTGAAGGAGATTATCGTCACAACTCTCCCCCGAAGCCTGCGGTTCTGGAAGAAGTACGTCGTTATGTGGTGGAGTAATGGATGGAGTCGCTTCTACTTCATAAACTCTGGAGAGGGCATCGGCTATGGTGTTGTCAGAACCCTTGATATAGCGGATCTCCAGGTTGAAGTCTTGTAAATACAGAGCCCATCGTAGAAGACGCTGGTTGGTGAATTGGGCTTGATTTAGGAAGCGGAGAGGGTTGTGGTCTGAGAAGATGGTGGTAGACCTGGCGCCTTGTAGGTACGGAGCGAAGTGTTGGAGGTTCAGGACGATGGATAGTAGCTCCTTTTCAATAGTGCTGTAGTTCCTCTGGTGTGGTTTCAGTTTGTAGCTGTAGTAGCTGACAGGTAGAACTTCCTCGCCTCGTTGTTGCATCAGGACACCACCAACGCCGGTACCACTGGCGTCGACATGAAGGACGAAAGGCTTGGTGATATCTGGAGAGGCGAGAATGGGGTTAGAACAGAGGAGGAATTTGAGTTGTTCGAAAGCAACGGTTTGCTGCATGGTCCAATTATACCGTTGCTTGGGACTGGTTAATAGAATTAGAGGTGTGGCGACTGTACTGAAATTCCTCACAAACCTACGGTAGTAAGAGGCAAGACCAAGGAAGCGCAGGAGCTGCTTCCTGGTGGTAGGCTGTGGATACTGTAGGATGGCTTGAGTGTGTGAGTCTAACGGAGCTATGCTGCCACTCCCAATAACATGACCCAGATAACGCACTTTACCTTTCGCGAAAGTGGACTTGCCCAGGTTGATGGTGAGGCCGGCTGTCAGGAGCTTGGAGAACAGACGTCGCAGCTGGAGCAGATGTTCACTCCAGGAGTTGGAGGCTACGACGATATCGTCCAGGTAGGCGTATGTGTTATCCAAGCCCTGGATGACACGGTTGACAGCTCTTTGAAAGGTGGCCGGGGCATTACATAGTCCGAAAGGAAGGCGTTCATATCTGAAAAGTCCAAAAGGAGTGATGAAGGCAGATATCTCTTTAGCGCGCTCCGTTAGACACACTTGATAGTACCCCTTAAGCAAGTCCACTTGGGACAAGTACTGGGCACTACCAATGGCATCAAGGATGTCATCTATCCTTGGCAAGGGGTAAGCATCCTTGACAGTGACAGAGTTCAGTTTTCGATAGTCAGTGCACAACCGCACCTTACCTTGGGGTTTGGGCACCAAGATACAAGGTGAGGCCCAGGGGGACTCACAAGGTGTAGCCAGTCCATGATCCAAGAGGTATTGCACCTCAGCACGCATGACTTCCTTCTTGCTCGGGCTGATTCGGTAGAAGGGTTGACGAATCGGCCGGGTGTCGGGGAGCAGTTGGATGTCGTGCTGGGTAACATTACACTCTTGGGGATCATCTCTGAACAACTCTTGATGTTCTCTGAAGATCTTGACGAGAGGTGCACTATGATTATCCTGAAAGTATTTGGGAAGATCATTAAGGATTTCGGAATTAGAAAGCGCTGACTCCTTGTCAGTGCTTTCGGGAGGAGAAGCTGGGAAGGTCTCACTGTGGATGTAGGGTTCTGTGAATGTGGAATAATTAGTTAAGACAGTGGGAGGAGTACCATTATATTGCTTCAGGAGGTTGACGTGGCACAGCTGGGTCTTCCGCCGCCTATCTGGAGTCTCTATCACATAATTATTATTATTCCTGCACTCTTTGACGCAGTAGGGTCCTGAAAATCTGTTTTGTAAAGGTGAACCT